AACGAGAAGAAAATTCACCCATGATTCACGATTGAATAACCGAAATAATTCTTATATGTATCTTTTATACAATCTTTGATGGTTTTACTTTACTTTGAGATAATATATAATTCGTAAATGTAACAGTACTTGTCGGGATCATTTTTACAACCTCGATGAGACATCATAGAAATTGATTTGGATATCTCGAAAACAAAAGGGAGTGACAGAAAACTTGTTATGGAAGAATTCAGACAAAAATTGATCGGAATAAGAAAAACTAAGAATGAATAGAAACTTTTGACTATCCTGAAAAGGACATCTTTTCTCTTTCGGCGTTCTACTCGCTGTAGGTGGGCCGTTTGCTGGTCTTTTCTGGCTTTTCATTCCTCCAAGTTGTTCAACTGCCCTCTCGAGTTCCCTTCTGAACTTTTCTTTTTCTCGCTGGGTTTTCTCTCTACTCCTCTTAAGCCTACTCATCAGCTTCTTGACATACTACTGTTCGTTCTTCACAACCTTATGAATATTATTGGCAGTGCTGGTTACTTCATATATCTCTGCCATCTTTTTCCCCACCTGATTGAGCAAGTCTTGTTCAGACTCCTCCTTTCGCTCAATTTCTATCCAGAGCTTCTACCAGGTTGGTTCCTTCTTCTTTCCTCCTGCATTGGGATGTCCTCCATTTCTGTTCTTTGATGGATCCAACTTGTCCATCTCTTCATTTTAGGGCTTTCCTTTATATCTTGCATGATGATCCCACGAGCAGCTAGGGAAATTGTCGTCGATCCCACGCAGAGTGGAACCAAAGCCCTCTATGTGTGACACAAAGCTAAATACGAGGCAGTTTCGCAGGGTGCTCCCAAGGTTCAGTTTATGTCTCTCGGTTATTGGTCTCTCTAAATCTCGGCTATATCGGCACGGGTCGCTTCATACCTTCAGCTTGGTGTGTGTGTGTGTGTGTTTTCACTTCAAATCCCATTTTTTGGCATTGACTGATTCCCCTCTGTGCGAGCGCTCGCCGCCACAGTTGTCGACGGCGGACGAGGCCGAGGAAATCCCTTCTATCCATTTTCTCGTCCCCGCCACCTTGTTACAAATTTTACAGAATAAAAGGGCAGAAATCGCCTTGAAAGACTAATAGGGCAAGACTTATGACTCAACAACGATGGCGCCTTTACACGCGTCAGTTCTTAAGATGTTTATTAATCGAATACCAAAGGATATTGTTATTTTAGTCGATATTAAACAACCATCTACTTTCGAAGAAGCCTATAAATGGTAGATATTGACAAGTATATAAGATCAACATTTAGAAAAAATATATTAACAAATTATTGACCATGAATCCAAAAAAGTATATCCTAGAATACATAAATATAACTTGAATACGAACTTTAAAATAACAGAGAAGAATATATCCACATCCTGTATTTATTAAATTTAGTAATCAATTAGAGATCAGCTACCACATAATGAGGAAATTATAAACAATGATAATGTTCAAAACCATCTAAAAATAGATTACATGTTCCGTTACGGTATCAATACTATTTGAAGAAGAATTTTTTTCTTGGAGAATGTTATACGTATTAATTTTTTATAAATATAATTTATCACTGAATATAAATTTATTATTTTTACATGTGGGCAATTCTTGGCTATTTCAAACAGTTTAAAACGTCAAATCACCAATTTTATTCAAAGTTGGTAGACTTGTTACCTATACAGAGGTCAGCATGTTTGCAGGGTTTTAGATCAAAATATTGATAAGGGGCCGACTTATCAACTGTTGAAAAAATATTGGACTTTTTTTTATTCATTCGATTTTTCGGAGACTAATAAAAATATGGACATGATTTTTTTTTTAAAAGACGCGAAAAGAGTTTCACTTTTAAAATGTAAATAGTAAAATACCAAATCATTTATTTATGTCATTGTTATAAACAATTTTTTCAAAAAATCAACGATATCTCAAAAAATTATACTTTTTTTTTTAATTTTTGCACCATCGTGTTCCTTGTCATTTTTTACATAAGAAAGCGTTGAGAAAATCAAGTACCCGCTATGAGGATTAAGACAGCGCTAAAATGAAACGAACCGCCCGCTAGCCGCTCGAACGTCCGCTACTTGTGCGGTTCCAACATTCCTTGCTGCGATTGCCTTTAAGGAATAAATAATTTCATATTCTATCAGTCTATATCTATTTATTTAAATAATATATAAATGTATTAATTAAGTAAGTAATGTAAATGAACTATTTTTTTATACAATCTGATATAATATTGAAATTAAACATTTGATCTCTGCGTAAGATCGGGCTTGAGACCGGCGCATATAAACGAAGCGGCCGCATTAAAAATGTTTTTTTATCGGACCTACACCATAATACTCTTAATAAGTTAATTTCAAGTAATTTGTTCTAACCTATGTTCTACCATATATTTTTGAATATACGTCATTCTCACGCCTGATCAAACGCACAGAGAAAATGTTTCATACAATGTTGTTTCAGATTGTACAAAACAATAGTCCATATATATTAATTATATTACTTTATATTACGTTATATTAAGTAAATAAGTCATTAAATTTATTTGAAATTTAATTACTTATTTAATTAACTTTATATTTATATATAAATTATTGTTAATTTTTTCCACTCCTGATGTTTGATAATTATATTAGTAATCTATATAGGGACGACTCCTAAGATCAAGATTACTAATATAATTTATATTTATATATTATTTGAATAAATACATATAGACTGATAGAATATGAAATTATTTATTCCTTAAAGGCAACTGCAGCAAGCAACGTTGGAACCGCACGAGTAGCGGACGTTCGAGCGGCTAGCGGGCGGTTCGTTTCATTTTAGTGCTGTCTTAATCCTAATAGCGGGCACTTGATTTTTTCAACGGTTTCTTATGTAAAAAATGACAAGGAACACGATGGTGCAAAAATTAAAAAAGAAATATCGTTTTTTGAGATATCGTCGATTTTTTGAAAAAATTGTTTATAACAATGACATAAATAAATGATTTGGTATTTTGCTATTTACTGTGACGGTGAACATCTTATTAGCGCTAACGACCCAACCACGCGGCTGCCTGCGAGGACAGCACCTACCGGTCGGGGAAAATGTAATGAGGGAATTCGGCACGCAACGGGACGGAACGCGCGCGCACGAAAATGAACCAGTCGAGGATTAGCTACCGATACCTCCAGCCGCAATCAACCAAGAAAGAAAGTTTTTCCCGAGTTTTTCCGGAGTGCAGAGACGAATAGATAAGGAGCGACAGGAGCCTTGCCTTCGCATAACCGAGACGAGCGTGTGCAAGTGAGCGTGAGTGCGGGGTTTCGCCATCGAGGGCGAAACCAAAAGCGTGATCCGCTCGATCAGACGCAGATTTCCCCGAGACGTTATCTCGAACTTTTTCTTTCGTTCTCCGTGCGACTGCTAATAAGGTAAGCTGGCCAGCTTAATTTCGCGATCGTAATAGAATTGCTAATAGCTAATCTCTCGTACTCAATAAGAAACGTGCATGTAATAACTCGGCGGACAAAGAGCGGCGAGCGATACGACTCTGTATGTTATTGTCGCGCGCGCGCTTTGTAAACATAAACACGCGGGCCGAACACAGTGTAGAATGAAGAGGCAATAAACGATCTCGTTTGTGATATTGATCGTAATTCTGATGTAGTTATTTCTCACTGGTAAATAGTTGGTTGACTGACACCCATTCCCTCCTGCTCTCCGATTTTCGAATTTGAACGTGTAGATAATCCCGCGCGCTCTTCCATGCGATCGCGCACATAATTAAATAAACGGATTGCTACCCCGTTACATTACATTTTAAAAGTGAAACTCTTTTCGCGTCTTTTAAAAACAGAATCATGTCCATATCTTTATTAGTCTCCGAGAAATCGAATTAATAAACAAAAGTCCAATATTTTTTCAACAGTTGATAAGTCGGTCCCTTATCAATATTTTGATCTAAAACTCTGCACAGATGTTGACTTCGGTATAGGTAACAAGTCTACCAACTTTGAACAAAATTGGTGATTTGATGTTTTAAACTGTTTGAAATAGCCAAGAATTGCCCATGTGTGACATTTGTGTTTCAAAGTATTATAAAATGAACATTTTTGCGCTCTCTTTATGTATCAACCAAACAGAATGCTGCATGTCTTCATTCATTTTTAAAATAGCATCCTTATTTTTTTTACATTACAATTAATTTACTGAGATTTTTTTAATCTCGCTCTATTTCTGCTGCATCAGTGCTAATGAGCAACGCAGGCTTGCATGTGTTTGAGAACAAAGCACATGAAACTTTTTCCTTTTTCAGTGGTGCTTGGATCAATCAGCAGGGACTAGGAATCGAACCCGGGCCTACCGGGTGCGAGTCCATCGCCCGACCGACCGAGACATTGCAGGCTTCAATTTACTGAGTTATGGATTATCTTAAGCTCGTTAAATACATTTTAACTTTTGATTTACTGGAAAAATGTCACCATGGATTTTTTTTAAAAAGCTTCTCCCTTTCCAATACATCCGTAAATTTGATAAAATGGAAAACACTAATTGCTCTAGTTAGTTAAAATATTAGAGGCTATCTTTTCACATGCTCATATTTTAAGCCAATGCATGAACACTCGTTATTTCGTTGAAATATACTCAACGCGTTAGAGGTTGGTTTTTTTATATTTTTTAATATTTAACCTATGTGGTATGTAGGATATGGATAGACATTTTTTAAAGAACCTTCGGAGGTGTTACATGTATAGGGAAATAATTATTTGAAGAATTGAAATCTTGTGTATAAATATTCAAAAATTTGATTTATTTCTTTATAAATATGCAATAAGGCGTCGATAGTCCATAATTATATCCAATCCTAAGTACATGCCCATCTAGTAATTAATTTTTGGCTCAAAAACTTCTTATTTGTCTCCAAATTCTGAAAACATTATTTTGATCGTATTTAATAATTCAGCACATATTATATTTGTTGTAGGAAATAAAAATGGATTACTGGTGCCAAATACTGCAACAGATACTGAGTTGCAGCAAATTCGAAACTCACTCTCTGATAATATCAAAGTTCACAGAGTTGAAGAAAGATTATCTGCTTTAGGTAATATCATCGCCTGCAATGACTATGTGGCATTAGTACATCCTGATTTAGATAGGGTAAGATTGAACTGATATACATTTTAATTAATATAGTTTTAAGATAGAGCCCTCAAAAACGGAATATTTGTTTAACGTTCAAATTTATTGCATGGTGGATAATTACATTAATTGAATAAGTCGAAACAATAATCTTTCAAAATTTCTTTCTTGAAAGGAGTGTATAATATTCTCGAGTTGTTTGTGTGTAATTTTTAGGAATAGTTTTATGGTGAAGAAGTTGTCATAACCCGCATTGATTTTAATACTCGGTCATGCATACAACCTTGGTTATAATTCATATAAATGGAATCTGTAAAAGGGAAAGTCGAAAAGTATACGAATTATATATATTAGAATTTTGGACTGGGAAGAACCATTTCGATCCACAGTAGATGCTTCGTTTCGTGTATTGTTTCAGGTCATCTTAAAGGAAACCCAGACTTAGACGTCGTCTTCTGAAAATGGTCCATATTTATTTAATAATTTTGATTCAAACGAAACTTCATTGATGCCGCCTCGTTAATTTAACCCATACATAAATATCGTCTATATTATATTCACATTTGTAATAGAAAAGTCGTCCATTTGAAATTACATTTCAGCGCAGCACTTTACAAATTAACAGGCCGACAAAGTTTCGGAATGGAAAAAACACAGAAACGCGATAGTATATTTCCATAAGTTCTTGCAGCGTTCAATCCGAATCTGGCTTCAGAATTGATTCATCATCTAAGGTTTTTGAGATCTCCTAACCTAAAACTGCGAATATAACGATCGGTTATGTTCGTGGAATACCGTGAATAATTTCTTTTTACAAAAATAATAAGAGAATTAAGAATACACCTTTCTTGCTTATCATAACCCATTTTTCGAATTAGAGTTATCTTTTTTCTTCATCGATATGTTATTAATTCAAGTTACGCACTTTAGCAATTCCTCAACAACATTATAACAGGCTAATCGTTAAATATACGAGGTGTGATCAAAAAGTAAGGTGAATTTTTATTTTTCTCAAAAAATATTTATTTATTCATCAATTTTTATTTTATCTCCTTCAAAGTAATCCCCCTCGGATATAATGCACTTGTGCCAACGCTTTTTCCAATCCTCAAAGCATTTCAAAAAATAATTTTTTGTGATCTTGTTTAGTTCATCCTTCGATGCCGTCTTTATCTCCTCAATCGTGGCAAAACGCCGTCCTTTCATGGGCCTCTTCAGTTTTGGGAACAAGAAGAAGTCACAGGGGGGCAGATCTGGGGAATACGGTGCCTGTGGCATCGTTACTGTGTTGGTTTTAGCCAAAAATTCGCGCACAAGCAACGATGTGTGAGCAGGGGCGTTATCATGGTGCAAAAGCCAATTTTTATTTTTCCACAAATTCGGACGTTTCTGGCGGATTGCTTCGCGCAAATTGCGCATAACTTGCAGGTAATATTCCTTATTTACTGTTCTACCCTGTGGCAAGAACTCATGATGCACCACGCCCCTGCAGTCAAAGAAAACTGTAAGCAAAACCTTTACATTTGATCGAACTTGGCGTGCTTTTTTTGGTCTTGGTGATCCAGAATGCCTCCACTGGGACGATTGAGTCTTAGTCTCGACGTCATATCCGTATACCCATGTTTCGTCACCTGTTATAACCCTGTTGAGTAAGTCTGGATCATCGTTGACGTCATTCAGTAGCTCTTGGGCGATGCTCATGCGACGTTTCTTTTGGTCGAAATTGAGCAATTTCGGAACAAACTTCGCTGACACACGTCTCATGTCTAAAACACTCGTCAAAATTGATTGGCACGAACCAAATGAGATGCCAATATCATCAGCAATTTCTCTAATGGTAATTCGACGATTTCCCAACACTATTTTCTTCACTCCTTCAACATTCTCATCAGTTGTTGATGTGCTGGGGCGTCCAGAACGAGGTTCGTCGTCGGTGTCTTCTCGGCCTTCTTGGAAGAGTTTATACCACTTGTAAACATTTTTTTGGCTTAAAGTAGACTCACCGTATGCCACTTTCAGCATTTCAAGTGTTTTGGAACATTTGATTCCATTTTTCACACAAAATTTAATGCAAACTCTTTGATCCATTTTTTTAGACAGCAGCAAATCGTGGAGCACGCAAAACACTTCTAACCTTGATGCCTCTCACAAACAAACCAAACATACTACAAAGCTGAAATTTGGAACGTATGTTCTAGACGAGTGTACCGACATAACCAAATAAAAAAGTCGAAGATCTAACGGACATAGCCCGCTAAATTTCAAAATTCACCTTACTTTTTGATCACACCTCGTATGTCCTAGCATACGAGAATCGTTCAATAAGTCCGTGACTTTTCGGAAGATGATAATGTTATTGTCACGTATTTTACACTGTAAGAAATTTCCATCTAGTATAAGAGTGTATACAAAGTTCTAAGTTAATGCGTTCGTTTGGATATCTTTTACAATCATTTGAATTTAGTTTTTCATTGTATAAACAAAAACATGGAAAAAATGAGTTTCTTGTGCTTATTAAATATTATTTCATACGGAGAAAATCAATCAAAGAAACTGAAGAAAAGCTCAGGAAATATTATGGAGACTCTGCTCTATCACATGGTATGATTCAAAAGTGGTTTACTGAATTTCGTTGTTGACGTAAAAGCACAAGTGATGCTGAACCATCTAAAAGAGATGACTACTCAACACATGATTGATAAAGATTATGATATTGTATTCGCCAATCATCGATTGAAGGTGCGTAAGATCAGTGAGGCTCTTAATATTTCATTAGGATGCACATGGAATATTTTACATAAATGTTTGGACATGCGAAAGTTGTTTGCAAGATGGGTGTCGCGCTTGGTCAGAGCTGATAACAAGCGAGCTCATAGGGTTTTATCTAAGCAGAAATCAGTCGAAACCGTAGATTTCAGCACCGTTATAATAAATGTATATAATTAAAAGGGGACTATGTTGAAAAATAATTTGGAATTATTTTAATAAATAGTGTTTATTTATTTAAAGTCTCGGATTGATTGAACGATCCTCGTATTTTGGACAGTTCAATCCCAATTGCCATAACCTCCGACTTCTGTAACCTGCAAGAATATAACCCCACACTCTTAAACCTAAATTACTTTAACTCTTGATTCTTATAACTGGTGATCATATAAGTCAGGACCTCTGAATCCCTGTATTGTGTGATTGTGATGTTGCAAAACTGCTAAAATACTTCATGTGAACCAATGATATTTAAATGAAAGAAACAGATATTTTTAATTCAAAAAATGGGATTTGAAGAAAATAAATATTGCTTTTTCATGGGTGTTTGGAAAAAAAAATTTATTTACAGGATTACATAACCGCGCACAAAGCAGATAATCGTGATTTTTATACTTTTAGGTTACGATATTTCAGGAACCTTGGACGATGGATCAATTCTGAACCAGATTCAGATTCAGCGCATCGAATACCTTTAGAAATAAACTATCGTGATTCTGAATTTTTTTAGATGTCGGGTTGTGTTATTTATGCGGGAAAAAGAGGCATGACTACTCTAGCTACTAAATAACATGCCGGACATGCATTTTGTGACGTATATACGCATGAGAGAGCCTGTATGAAAAAAATCTGCCGCTCGTCTATTCAGAAAGTACGAAATAGAGATCTTTCTGAGGTCGAGAATCCTGTCGATTACAAAATAAAATAGTCGCGATGCGGTATGTATGAACACGATCAGCGTCTAACGATTAACGTTTACCATTAATTGATAGCATGCCGCTATTTTTAGAGTGCGGCAATTATTACTGCTCCTAAGTTAAAACACGCGCGACTCCTGCGCTAAACCCAGATTATTTTAGTACATCGAAATGACTGACAAAAATATATGAGATGCGTACGTCTTTGAATCGGAACGAATCTATATAATAAAAATTGCTTGTGACATCGTTACAAGATGAAACATGTACAACGTTCGTCCCGGATTCAGATGCTTTCAACATTTAAAAACAACCATAATTCTACTACTGAAAGGTGCATGGTTTCCAGTTGAAATAAAAATTCATTAATAAATTTGTAAGAACCGTCATTAGAGCGAGAAGTACAAGGTGTGCACAAATAGGTAATTACCGCCGTAGGCATGCAAGATAAAGCGAAGATCAATTTGCGTCCCGTCGCTGCAATAAGTTTCGCGGTTAAATTTACTCAGTTAATATTGTTATATTTACATATTATTCTGCCTTAGAGAAAATTTCAATTTTTTTAACCTCGACTTAAATCAATGCCAATTTAGAACCAGGCGGTTGAGGGCAAATCGACCTGAGGAGTTCAGAGGGTAATGTCTTTTCATTTTAAATGAGCTCCCGCGGGGTTCTATCCGATATTTTTTAACCGAGTTACGACATTTTTTGTAAAAAGCAACCTTTTTTTCCAATCCTCAATTACTTTGACTTGCGTACGTTTTGGGAAAAAATGCCAAAGAAAAAAAAGTTTCATTTTGTGTCCAAGAATACGAAAATAAAGTCAAAATAAAGAAATAAAGAAAAAAATTTTTTCGGCTTTTTAGCACATTAAAAAAATAAAGGAATTTAACTTTTTTTTTACACTTAGTTTCAGTTTTTTTGTGATTTACTACGTCTCTAGATATTTTAAAGAAATTCTAAAACACCCGTTTTTTAAAAGACTTATAATTACAAAAATTGTTTATAAGGCTAGAGAGCTTGCGGTTTGGTTTCCCTCTTCTATGTAAAGTGTAAACTTACAGAAAATGCTTGTTAACGTTAGAAAAGTTTAAAATGACTCTTTGTTTATATACGATGGATATTCTGAAAAAGTTTCAAGTTGACTAATTCATTTGTTTTAAAAAAAACCTATAAAAACTTTTTTATTAACACCAACAAAGTTCATGAGCACTTAAGTCAAGTTTGTTCCTGATACTCGGAACCTAATCTCACGGTGCAAAACTGACCTCTTTTCGGATACGGACTAACGTAACATAAGTACTGATTTCAGATTGACAGAAATATAAAACTATA